TCCTCACTGCAGCGCAATGACTTATTGGATTAGACCCCATTTACATACTAGATGTTGGAACCCTAACCATAGATGAATTACTTAGCAACATACCGTCTCTGCCATCGGCACGTGTGTTACAACATCTAGAACGTAGTGGATCTAATTCAATACGTTGTCGTGCTGCAGGCTGCAGTGAGGACCTCTTGAAACGGCAAGAAATGTGCACACATCCTGGTTGCAAAAAGACCTGATTAGCCTAGCATCCTGTCACTGCTTGGTGTCACTCAGGGGTCAGGATTTGTTGATCACAGTAGGGATTGCCAATGGATCCCAGTGTGTGTTATGTGTGGAATCTAAAATCTACCATCTTCAGGATCTGTGTGTTATTTGAAGTGTTCCACTGTTTGAGGCAGTTGGAATTATGTTTTTTTTTCTGGGTTCTTTTCTGTATTGTGAAAGTAAGTGGTTTGCAAGTATTGAGTTTCTCTACTCACAGTGATGAGCTGTGGTGTACTTTTCTAGATGTGAATCAGATTTTGGTTGTTGATATTTTTTTATTGCTTTTAGTCATGAATGAGTATTCTCTGTTGCTTATAAGGTTTGAGAGGAAGAGTATATGATCAGAGTGATTAGTGTGTGAGTGATGATCATAATAGCTTTATGTGCGAAGTGTTAAAAGTGTTGCTGGAGATTTTAACTAGTTTCCAAGAAGTTTGGAAATCTTGTTTAATGCCTGTTATTGTGAGAGTTAAGGAATAAAGCTTGAGTATATTAGTTTTTCAAACATGTGTTGTACTTGTTCACTGTTGTTGTTGTTAGTAGTGTTTGTCACATAATAGTAAATGTTTATGTGTAGTCTTAAATTTTGCTATCTTCAATTGTTGTTTAATTAAAGTGTTTGACTGAAATGAATTTAATGGGTCATGCTTTGTTTGCAGGGATTATTTATATGATATGTAAGTAGGAAATGTATTTTGAAAGTTTTAGTTCAAGTCATTTTTGTTTTTAGGATAGTCTATGGGGATAGCTTTCATTTTATTGAGTTATGTGTAGAATCTAAAATCTACCATCTTCAGGATTTGTGTGTTATTTGAAGTGCACGACTGTCTGAGGCAGTAAGAAGTTAAGGCTATCCCTCTTAGATCTGAAGCAAAGGCTAGTTTCAGATGCTTTTGCTGATGTAGTGTTCAAGTAAGAAATGTATTTGAGAAGTGTTATGTCTCTTTAATTACAACAAGGAGCCATTGGTTGGGTTTTGCCTGAGGTTTTTTTTTTTCATTATTTTGATGATTGGGTTATTTGTTTCTTCTGTGTGTTTAGAGGGACAATACATGATCATAGTATTTAATGTGTTATTGGTTAAGGTTTGTATAATATGGAAATATTTGATATTTTGTGCAGTAAAATGTCAAGCACACAATGAGTAACAATAACTGTCTGAGAAGTAAGCCTAACATAGAATAAGGCTTACAACAGGGAAAACAAACACTTCCCATCAAAAAAATTTAAAATTCAATAAAAAGAATTCAGGTCATTATCACTCTGTAGATGATTTTACTTTGGCTAGTGCACAAGAGGAGCACAATGGTAAAAAGAGAGAGCATGAGTACTGTGTTAAAATCTTTCTCAATTAGATGTGGACCAAGCTATATGGAGTTATTTTTCTGCCAAAAGTTTCAAATTAAATAAAATCCACAAGCAAAATATAAATTATCAAAATAAAAAAAATAAAAAATTGCAACTGCAAGTAATAAGAATCAAATAAAAAAAAAATCCCCCCCAAAAAAATTACTTCTGAGTCACAATTTGCTTTTTAATTTTTTTTTTTCTATTTGTGGATTGTAACATACAGTCAGGTCCAGAAGTATTTGGACAATGACAGAGTTTTTGTGATTTTGCCTTTATACACCACCACAATGGATTTGAAATAAAAAAAAATCAAGATGTGATCGAAGTGTAGACTTTCAGGTTTATTTTAAGAGGTTCCACAAAAATCTGGCATTTACCATTTAGGAATTACAGCCATTTTCAATAAAGTACCTCCATTTTCAGGGGTTCAAAGGTATTTGGACAAAGTGACATAATTGCTGCTGTAGATAATAGCTGCGGTGCATACCAATAATAACCTCTCTGCCTATTTTAACCTCCAAAGAGGTACAAGACAAGGTTGTCCGATGTCCCTGCTATTGTTTGCGATTGCGATTGAACCGTTAGCGTTAGCAATACGATGGGATATTAATATTAAAGGAATTTGTAGAGGTGATCAGGAGTGTAAAGTATCACTTTATGCAGACGATTTATTATTGTTCCTGTCAGACCCTTTATCAAGTCTCCCTAGACTACTGGATATGTTAAAGAAATTTGGTAAGATATCCGTCTGCAAAGTGAATCTTCAAAAAAGTGAACTAATGCCAATCAATATGACTGCCAGAAATATTTCATTTCATTCAACCCCTTTTAAAATCAACACAAAAAAGTTCAAATATCTGGGAATCTGGATTACACATAATCATAAAGACCTTTACAAAGCTAACTTCATTCCTCTGATAGCTGATCTGAAACAAGATATTAAATGTTGGGATTTGCTGCCCCTTTCTTTATGTGGAAGGATTAATGTCATCAAAATGAATGTGCTACCAAAGCTCCTTTATTTGTTTCAAAATCTTTCTATATTTTTGACAAAATTCTTCTTTAACTCCATAGACAAGCTCATATCAGCCTTTATTTGGAACAAAAGAAACCCACGTATATGGAAATGCATACTGCAGAAGCCTCGATCCCAGGGTGGTTTGGCGCTCCCTAATTTTTTGTTTTATTATTGGGCAGCCAACATTAGAGCACTAATGTATTGGATGAATGACATAAATAATTCCGGCACTCCTAAATGGCTATTCTTGGAGAGTATATCCTGTGGGTCCACCTCCTTATCAGCCTTATTATGCTCCGAACTCCCATTAGCTAAGCCCATTTCTCATTACACTGTTAACCCCATTGTGGCGCACTCCGTAAGAATTTGGAATCAGTTTAGAAGGTCCGTCGCTCTCCGTGGCCTCTTATTTTTCTTTCCAGTAGTTAAAAATCACATGTTTATCCCCGCAGTGTCGGATGGAGCCTTTGGTATTTGGTTTAAGAGTGGGATCACCTCATTACAGGACCTTTATATAGACAATAATTTCGCATCTTTTGAGCAACTAGTAAAAAAATTTCATATGCCTAGGTCCCACTTTTTTTAGATGTTTACAGCTGCGGAATTTTATAGCTTCACACTCTGATTGCTTCCCACTATATCCCTCTATCTCTCTGCTAGATTCTATTTTCAAGTTGGGGAAATATCTAAAGCAGATTATTGGTAGGATATATAGCCTTCTAAACTTACATAATCTGGCAACTCTAGACCGTTTGAAAATTAAACGGGAAGAGGACTTAAATGAACAAATCTCAGATACAATTTGGAAAAAAATTATTAGAAAGATTCCTTCATCATCCATTTGTCAACGACATGCTGTTGTGCAATTCAAAATAGTACACTGGCTTCATTGGTCAAAGGTCAGACTGTCTAGAATTAGAGCTGAGCTAGATCCCACATGTGACAGATGTAAACAAGGTCCTGCAAACTTAATACATATGTTTTGAACATGTCCAAGACTACATCATTTCTGGCAGTCTATCTTTAATACATTCTCTAAAATACTAAAGGAGTCAATCAATCCATCCCTTCTTATTGCCCTAGTCGGTGTTATACCACAGGATATGCATCTAAGCAGTAAAAAGTGCAATATGCTGACCTTTTGCACTTTGTTGGCCAGGCGACTCATCCTTTTTAGATGGAAAGACTCTCTTCCCCCTGTGTATTCTCACTGGATTAAAGAGGTCATGCAATATCTTAAACTAGAGAAGATAAGATATTCTCTTCAAGGGTCTGTTTTGAAATTTTATGATATTTGGCAGCCTTTCTTGACATTTGTAGAAAAAATGGAAGCAAATAATGTAATCTCATAATATGTTGTAAATCCCTGTATCTTTATTTATTTATTTATTTATTTATTTATTACTAATTTATTTCATTTACTTTATCTTTTTTTCAGGTAAATATGTAAGGTGAGTGGTTTAACTTAGCAGAGTTGGTCTGGTGGATGGGTGGGTTGATATGCGGGGTTGATATTGTTTGTATTTTGTTTGTTCTTTATATACACTCTGAAAATGTTCAATAAACAGACCTTGATCAAAAATATGCACTAACACACTGTTTTCTTAACAAAACTCTATGTGCTGACAGACGTTACCTTTGCGCGCTGAAAACGGTATTTAGAGAATTTCAAGGCCATAGGACATCCGGAAAGTGTTTTTCTAACAAACGCATATATGTACGAGCATGACATATTTTCCAATTACTTTTTCACATTTTTTGATGAAAAATGTTACAAAATATAATTGTCTACATTAAAATGAATAATTTGATAAGAAAGTGTGAAAAAAGTGAAAATCATGAAGAATAATCTTTAGAATGTCATTATTCATCAAATATGGACTAACATACTGTTTTCTTAACAAACCTGTATATGCTGACACAAGTATATGCTTTGTGTTCTGAAAACGCTAGTTAGAGAGTTTCAAGTTGATAGGAACATCGGTAAGTGGTTTTTCTAACAAACGCATATATGCACGTGCATATTTTTCATGTTTTTAATGAAAACTGATAGTAAATAGGATTGTTTACTGTAAAATGCATACAAAGCAACATTATCAGACTTAAAATTACAGTGTTGATTAAAAGTTTGCATATACAGGGTTAATCTAACTCAATTTGGAGTTAATCTAAACCTGGTTTGAGTTTGTTGTTGTTCCTCTTTCGGCTGCTCTCATTAGGGGTCGCCACAGCAGATCATTGGTCCGCGTATTTGATTTGGCAGAGTTCTATGCCAGATGCCCTTCCTGACGCAGCCCTTCCTGACGCAACCCTCCCCAATTTTATCCGGGCTTGGGACCGTCACTGAGAGTGCACTGTTGGCTGGAGTTGGTTCCCTGGCCAGGATTTGAACCTGGGCCACAGCAGTGAGAGTGCTGTGGCCTAACCACTAGCCCTCCAGGAAACCTAAACCTGGATTGAGTTTAAACTGTTTTATTTCACTTTCTGTGAATAAAGAGTTTGTGTCCAAATGGAGTGGTACAGCTTTTGTCTCAAAAACAACTCTAGCAGTGCTGTTATAAACATCTATTTGCTTTCTTACTCCTTGAGTATTAATGAGCCCCTCCTCCTCCACAGCGCGTGCCATACTGAATTCAGAAGTGAAGATCAAGCCATTCTTTTCTCACAGTGAATGATGAGTTGATTAAATACATTTTCAATCGATCAATAACAATCGTAAGTTGTAGTATTATTTTTTTTATTTTGTACCTAATATTGAGTTTGCATTAGAAAAGTAGTTTCTTACTATGAATGCGGTAGCCGAGACCATATGTGTTAGTCAGAAATTTTACATGCAAATCCACAAACTCAAATTTATGCCAATAGCTATACACTTTGGCAAATTTCAATGAAACATATATCTAAGGTTTTGTTTGTAAACGTGGAATTTGATACTATTTTATTCTAATTCAACATTTGTTTTTTGACTACGACAGTAGAGGCAGTGACCTGAAGTTAGCTACTTGTTTATTTCCGCGCAGCTAATGCAGTCAGATGATTTGACCCTGGCTCCATTTTGATTTAGGCCTGTTTTTACTTCGTATCTTGCTTTGTAAAAAGTTAACAAACTAAAGCTTTTAAAATGTATTATTAATGCACTCAGTAAATGCTGGCTAAAGTTGAGTTTGGCGCAGAAATATGTCAAAATACCACAGACTGAAGAAAGCTTTGTTTACGACAGATTTCATCAAGAAAGTTGGTATTTAGTTCAAGAAAAGTTATCTTCTGCTTTAGTCTGCATCCTGAACATCTGACTGAGGGTCAGATCTCCTTAACTGATGAGTCCAGAACAGAAATAGATGGAAGTATCTTTGATTAGCTTGTAAAATCAGGTTTCCTGACATTCAAGGTCTCTCCTGGACAGCCAGTAATAGGTAAGAATATTCAGTAAACAGGGATTTTGAGGAGATATAACTAGCAGTTAATAGCAACTAAGAAGCTGACAGTAAACTTTTGGTAGATTTAGAATTTTAATATAAATGTCATGATCATTTTGAAATCATTTCAAAAACAGTGCATTTAAACTTACTATCTGTTCTCATTTACTAATGTATTGATTATCATCTTTCATCCATTTTATTGATTTGGTTCTGATTTTTAAAAAAAATAATGCAAGCTATCCTTGTATGTATGATATTTTGTAGATTTGTGTTGTCAACTGGTCACTGATGAATCATCATCTTCAGTAGTACCTAGCACTCCACTGTCCCCAGTTTCATCCAATCCATCAGATTCTACAGTTATCCCGGAATCAACGAGAAGAAAAAGGAGTCCAACAGGAATTGTGGATGGAGATGGCAAGACAGGTAAACTTTGCGTAAATATATTGACATTCTATATATTAAAGTAAAATATGGTATCTTTTTTCTGAAATCACCTTCAATGGTTTTAGAAGTTGTGTTCTCTTTCTTTGGGAGGGTCAAAGAAATGTTTTCTATCTCCATGCCATTATGCTGTACTATTCTGGCAGATGGTTGATACTGTTCTGAAGGCCAATACAAAGGGGCCAAATCCAAATCTTCATGTAGTATGATAAAACCAAAACACTAACAGATGCAAAATGGAAAATGATGGTTAACATTCTGGTGGCAGATATGTTAGATTCAGCTGAGTAAGAATTCATAAAAAATCTGTACTTAAACATTATTTAAAACCTACACCTGTCTAAAATGATTATGGATTCAAGCACTGACAATTGCTTGTAATGCTTTAATGTTTTGTAAGGAGGATGCCAACATCAAGTGTACAAACTTTGGGAATTGTGACTCTTTTTCCATATCTACAAAAAAAATTTCCATATCTATTTTCCATATCTGCTCTTTTTCCATAGCCACAAGATCCATACTCTAAAAATGGATATGTGAGCTTTTATTAATTCATTCTCACGCATTAGTGCAGAATAGATTTTCTAACAGTTTTCAGTATTTTCTCTATTTTCTGTTTTGTCTATATGATGTCATCCTATAATGTTTTTGCAAAATGTGTGTATAAATTTATATTATTTGTAGGTAACTTGGTTTCTGACTCATTAATAGTTATGCATGTGTATGTTTCATGGTGTGATACAGGAACACTACTATGAACCTCAGGGCAATACAGGCTTGCATGGAGGATCAAGATAGTACAGGGAAACATATCAGTTGGCTCCCAGTGCCATTCCAGGCCCATACATCTAGATAGCCCGAAGAGCCATCGGGAATCTCGTTTAACTGATGCTCTTCAGTGAAAAATGCAGAGAGGCATTAGCTACAATGAGTCACTCATTGTTGATGAAGTCACGATCAAAGGATGAATGAGAGCAACTTTTGAGTAGAGGCAGAAGCTGATTCATGATGAGGATGCTTCATTGTCAATCTTGGATGTCTTTCCTTGTTTCTTAGATGTGCATGGATTGGTGAGAAAACATTAGCTTTTTGATCTTTCTAAATCCTACTTAATGTGAGGCTAAAAGCAATCTATATATTGAAATGTGTGTTCTTGACCAGGATTTCTCCCTGATGTTTGGAGATGAGATATCTGGAAAACTCTTGGAGAAATGACCTACATACAGTTGAAGTCAAAAGTTTACATACCCCTTTCATTATCTGCAAAATGTTTATTATTTTACCAAAATAAGAGGGATCATACAAAATGCATGTTATTGTTTATTTAGTGCTGACCTGAATAAGATATTTCACATAAAAGATGTTTACATATAGTCCACAAGAGAAAATAATAGTTGAATTTATAAAAATGACCCCGTTCAAAAGTTTACATACCCTTGATTCTTAATACTGTGTT